GGATGGGAAATTTTTTGTAATAGACTTTTATAGATTGTAAAAAATGTATTTAAAAAAATTGAGAGATGCATCTCCCTAAATAATCAGTTTCGATCATTTTTCAGATAGGGAGTGAACTAATATCGATTTGTTTTTTTATCGATACGTGACAGAGATGTATTAAATAGTGGCTATATATAGATGAATCTCGATTTGAGAAAAGATTATCTAAATTCTGCGATTCCTGGATTTGGATCATAAATTAGAATTTCAACAGATAGCGCATTCAGGGCAATAAAGTTTATTTGCTGATGCGCGATTACATAACGCACGGCAAACATTGCCAATTATTTATTACTCTCTCTTTTGCATACATACATAAAAAATTATATTTCTCTCAAATTTTCATTAATTTGACAAAGAAGTTCGCCCATTTTTATAGATGTTTTTGGGTCCAAAAGTGGGACATATATCAAATTGTAGGGCATCGTGAGGGGATTGAAAAATAGCTAATGTTCAAAACACCCGCCGGTCAATGTCATGACGTCATCAATGTTGATGTATAAAGTGTTCATTTGGGTCTATGCTTTCCCGCTTGCAATAAACTGATGATTTTTTTATTTTACAGTCGAACACGACGCCCGGAATTCTTATTTTTGTATTCATCCTTTTCTAAAGATTCTTTCTATATCCAAAACCGTCAAGGTGTCTTGGACGTAAACACGAGGTTGTTGTTCCCATATCATGGTTTGGTATCTAATTGTAAGATATGTTAAATATCTTTCAGAAGGTATATAGAAACTTATTTGTTATTTTGGACAGCTCTGACGGTGAGCCACCGACATCTTCAGAACATCAGAACTACTCCTGGTCGGGGTTCAAAGATCCAAAACTATTGTCTTCAAATCCTACCATTATTATCTACAAAATTGTACGCCCGATGACTGGGCCCGACAAACTTCGATCAGTAATCGAGCACATGGATACTCTCTCTCTCTCTCTCTCTCGATATCGATAGTATCGATAGATCGCAACTGAGTGTCTTCGATACGACTACCCGTTATATTTCATTGATGCGGCGCCAAGTGGCAAAGAGAACAATTCCGATTGTCTCTCTCTCTGCCGCGTGCGAGGAGACAACACGGCGCGTTAACGTGCATATATAACGTGCACGTTATTAAGGCGTTCTATGCGAAGACGAGACGAGACTCGAACGAGAAAGGGAAGGAGAGAGAGAGAGAGAGGACAGTAGTCGGTAGTGCCCCAGTTGGGTATTGATCCGTGACAGTCGGGAGGCGCTCGTTAGAGGTGGCTAGGTCGTAGGTCGCATGCGCGTTTCCACCGATGATTCCGTGTCGCCATCATCGACCCGCGGCCCGAGAGAAATAGAGCCGAATCGGTGAGAAACGCCAGAGAGAGAGGGAGAGAGAAAAAGACGACGGGGTCGGGTAGGGAGAAACGGGGAAAGTGGAACGAAAGAGCGAAACGTGGGAACGAAAGAGAGGGAGAGAGGATAGACCATGGAAATTATCATCCGGTTATGGCGCGAATGGTACGGTACCATCGCACTCTGTCTCTGACTCTGGCTCAGCTGGCGAACATAATGGATCGCCCTTTAAATCCCGCCGCGAAGACTCTCGGAAAGTTTAGGCTTTAGTAGCAGGTGCGGGAGATTTAAACACCCAACCCCGTAGTGAAGAGAGAGAGAGAGAGAGAGAGAGAGACCGGTTGAGAGGCTTGAAGAGGAAGCTTTTTTGTGTCATCAAATCATCGATTATTTACGTAGCGATTATATAGGAACGAATCGAAGTATAATCAATCCTTCGAAGGAGGGTTCCGATGCGCCCCAGAACCGACCCTGGCGACGACACGCGACGTCGACCCGCATGCGGCGCCGCTATCGCCGCGTCGTCGCGATTGCCGTCGACGCCGACGCCGACGTCGCCGCCGGCGGGCGTCGCGACGCGATCGTTGAAAGTTAATCCTTAATGACTCAAGTCAATGCCTCCCTCGCTCGCCTCGTTGCTTTAAAAGAAATATATCGTGTGCTCCTTTCCCTTCGAATCAATTTCAATTCTCCACTCCATTTCTGTCTGACTAAAGAAAGACCTAGGAGTGATCTTTTATTTAACTGAATGGTTTTTTTTTTTTTTATATCAAAATGTTACTCTTTAGAATTTATAATTGATTATAATCTACACGGTTTCTGTAAAACTATGTAAGAGATTTTAAGGGTGTTCTAGGGGTTGATATAAGAGAAAAAGTTCTGATAAATGCATATGGGTCCAAAAATGCTTTTCCTCTGAGGTATGGTTCTTTAAAGTTGGGGGAAAGAATTGAAAAATATATTGTAGCTCTGTCGGAGACTTTCTTCACGGATCGTTGAAATTTTGCACAGCGTAATAATTAATCATGACTTTTATTTTTATGCGGTTTTGACAATTTATTCGATTTTGAGAGGGAGATATGGGGGATGGTAGTTCTCATTTTTGGATCCACGTTTATAGGAACTTTTTTTATTATTTTGATCTCTAGGAGGAGATAGGTCCTTCAAATCTCCTTAATATCTTGGAATATTCAATTTTTTATTTTTAAATTACGTGTGTATATTATAATAATTTTGACGAGAAATGTTATGCTTGCGGAATATTAATATAATTCACCAGATTCTGTACAGACAAAGAACTGTTTTAAGAAAAAGAAGAAATTATACATCGTAATAATTAGAGGTGGATCGAATTGGATTGCGGTACCAAATATAATTTGCGCTTCGAGGAATTATTTTTATAATACGCAATCACCTAGTTACTGTGCTATTCGTTGACTGGCTCGGGGATATCTGAAACCGATGTGCGGTTACGAAGGACCGTAGAACAAACGCGATCCCAGAAAGTGATCTAATCGAGACCAGACGTCGAGCTTTCCGCCGCCAAAGCTCGACCACTTCCGCTTTCAGCGAGCCCGCCGACTCTGTTAACTCGACTCGCGAATGATAGCGACCCGCGCAAATTTGCATAAGGTCGAAATCGCGTTCATCCTGCGGGGGCGTACACGTACGTTTGTACTTTGCGTTACGTGTTGTATAAACTCTAGGAGAGAGGATGTATTTCTCGGTATAATACTTGCACGTCGGTATATCTAAAACACGAGAAAATTAATTTTTTTTTTTTACCAGTCTATTATAAATATATAGAAAAATATTAAAATTTCATCAAATTCTCAGGGCAAAAATTTCCCCAGGCCCGATACCAAGTAATTAAAATAAATCCTAATTGGAAATGTTTATTTTAATAATTAATTCTCTCCTAAAAAGCGAGAAAATTAGGCAAGAAATCGCTGTGAAATAAGACTATTAAATTTAAATTATTCTAATTTTCGAGATCAAGATGAGAAAATTCCGTCCATTTATCTCGGATTTCGCGGACGAAAAATTTGCGCCGAAAGGAGGAGGGAGTGCGGACAGGGGGAATTGTACGTATAATCGTATGGACAATCAGGCGAGGTGCGTATATGTGACCAAATTGCATAATCGTGACTTCCTCAATGACGAGGTGAGCGAGCGACGATGGATGGACCAGAGTAATGTAATACCCGTGAAATTGATCGTTTACATATACCTATACGTAAACCGGTGATGACGGACACGTAACGAAGTCCGAGTTTTTTTCTTTTTTTTTTCTTTTTTACGATGATAATCGTCGATTTGACGAATCGTTGGTCTTTTATCTAATCGCCGGCCGTAACGAGCCGCCGTGACAGAATTAACGACCGCGTGCAGCAATTGCACGCGTGTATAAACGCGTCACGAGTCTCGCGTTTCGTCAGTTAATCCATCCGGTACGTATGTGAGAATATTGTCGGTTTTCATGGCCGACGATGGAGGCGTCGAAGGATATCTCTGTACAATAAACTACACGTGTTGCTAATTTGTCGCTTAACATTCTTGGGAAAATATATGTATATGGCCGTGCAAAAGTAACGTATGAACGAGAATCATTCGTGTACATATATTCAATTATCGATTTTTCCTTTTATTTCTTTTTCTACTCTTTCATTTAAATCAGTTGCCTTAGATTTTGATCGATCTCGCAATTTTATTACATTAATTAATACTCTTGGAATTAAACGATTACCCTGATTTTCAGGATAAATTCTAAGAAAAAATTCTTCCAAACGCTCATATAAGAATGTATTCCAAAAAAGGGGGGAAAATGAAAAATTGACATCTTTCCTCCGAGCTTGCGATGTGGAAGAGACTGCATTTGATCTCGGAGTATTTTTTCGTTTATTCGGGAAGCCTGCTATTCCTGCGGAGATGAAAAGACGAAGGTTTCGGCGTTGATCGCGACTGTACAGCACGTCGCGTGGGTCGGCTTTCGTAATCGCGATTACGGGACCCGATTACCATTAAGCATTGAGGCATAGTGGACACGCTGGCGAGCGTGTCTCCATTCAACCTGCACACACTACCGGAAGCGGTCGTTATCCGAACGCGGTCGCGCCGAGGTCGCTCTTGAAAATCGGGCCTCCGCATCGCGAACGTCTCTTTTTCTCTCTCTTTCTCTCTTTCTTTCTATGTCTCTCTCATCGCGACGTCACGTGTCAAATACGCACGTGACCACGTGTCTCTGTCTCTTTCATGAGAAGGTCACAATTGCGACCGCGAGCCGTTGTGGGAAAACTCTGGGTCCATTCGTACCGGAGTAGCAGTCGTCTGCTCGCAAAGTGGCATGTCTGAAATTTCGAATGGAAAGTTTTAGGTGACGTAGGTAATTCGCGTACTTTTGCTTATTCAGCCCTAGAGATGGCCTCTCCTCCGAATGCTCGATTCTCATTTATGCGAGAGACACACACAGATACACCCGCGCGAGAAGAACTCTTATACATATACATGTTATTATATTCATTTTGTCATATATCTACCATATATACATGTATTTATTTATTTTGACTGTTTGTATTTTGTTGTATCGCCCGCATGATTTATATTTATGATTTTTTTATTCGCCCATTTTTTTCAGCAGCATGGCCGCTCAGACTCGTACAGGGTCGCCACGTTACCCAACATTCGTGACGACAACAAAACCGCAGATGGGATGTATAAGGTATATTCAGAGGTGCAGACTCTACGTCCGCGCACGATTTCTACATAATTTATATATATGTATTTCCGGATCTGGACCTCTCTGCGTTTCTTCTTCTTCTTCTACTTTCGATCATCGGATGGGATAAACGGAAACGTTTCTCTCGCTTTCGTTGTCTTTCATTTTAATCTCTCTTCTCTGTCTTCTCTCTCTTCTCAATCTCTTCTTCTATACTTCTTGCCGCTTTCTTTATTTTATTCTAATGATCTTTGTAATTAAAACATTTCTTCACGAGGTAACACCAACCTCTATTCTAGTTGTAACGCTTTTCTTTATTAACTATGCTTCAACAATAAATCTCTTCGGACAGATTTTTTTTGCTCCTTTACTATCACTTCCGGATCCTTATCACTTATGACGTCGCGCTCTCGTTTTCATATCTGGTAACGCATGTGAAAAGAATTCTGTTTGTTCAGGCTTCGATCGCGCAACGTTTTAATCACGCGTTTTAATTACACGACGAGCAGAAATGTTCTCGCATTCTTTCAAGAAGATGGTTTCGTATTCTTTTCGATGGTTCGATGTAATGAGATAAGATTGCGCTAAATCTATTGTACTTTATGATAAAGGAGAAAAAAATCGCTGAATTTCTCTCTGAACAAGTTACGTGTCTTATCGTAGTTTTGTTTGCTCTGCGAATTTTCATTACTCATTAATTATTTTCGCTGATGTCGCTGATGACATTTGCGCGCGAAATTTCCAAACATTCCAGCGCAATCCTATCTCGTTTTACGGTACATACGGATATCATTACAACTCACGGTTTACTTCGTTCCTTGTTCGATTTTGTCGTTGCAATCGATATCTTCTGTTGCAAGAAGTCCTGTCCTCCTTCGTCGGTGAGTTTCAATCTTGTAATTCGACGTGTGCTTCAATAATCTTCTTCTACTTCAGCACACATTCCGATCGGTGTTGGGCTTTTTTGGGGCTTTGTCTATAATTAATAAATATGTTAATTAAAGGTTGTGGGTCTTAGCGTCGATAAATCGACGCGAATCCGAAATGATCATCGAGACACGTTTCGATAACGCATTTTTTTTCTGTCTGTTCCCGTTAACAGTCGCGGCGGAAGAGCCCAAAGCAGCGGAGGGGGACAACCTAGATGACCTGAAGCAGGAGTTGGACATTGACTTCCACAAAGTCTCACCCGAGGAACTGTATCAAAGATTTCAGACGCACCCCGAAAACGTAAGTAATGTCAATGGCGCCTGGATCCTCGCCGCGGCCATGTTGGATTATAACGTCAGAGGTGGGAAAGCACACGCTGAAAATTCTGAAATTTCGATGAACACTATTTCAGATAGCTTTAGCACACTTTTAAAATACCTCGAAAATTATTCATTTCCTTTGACTCAATCAACAACTGTAAAAATGATCCTGATATCAGATTTTATCATCCAGACGGATCGGGTCTCATATTACAGTTATTTTACAGCTGTTGATTGATTATAAAAGGAAAAGGATAGAGTTTTCGAGATATTTCAAGAGTGCCCTAAAGTCATCTGGCATCTGACGTTACAATTCTAACTTGGTCGGCCAGGAAGCTTAGGGGGATCCTAAGGCTCTGTAAAAAATCCGAAAATTTATGAGTTTAAGTGCCAATCTTTTGATCGACTACAGATTGATAAATCCTTTTGCACAATTAAAGTATTAATATTAACAAGCAAGATTCATGGTCGAATTCAAATTCGCGCTGCTATCGGTACGACAGAGCCTTGGAATCCCCTTAATACGATATGTAAAAAGAAGAAATTTGTCGCTAATATATGAAAAATGTAACGCAACAGGGCCTCAGCCACGCGAAAGCAAAGGAGAACCTGGAGAGGGATGGGCCGAACGCCCTGACGCCGCCGAAGCAGACCCCGGAATGGGTGAAGTTCTGCAAAAATCTGTTCGGCGGTTTCGCCCTCCTATTGTGGATCGGTGCGATTCTCTGCTTCATCGCGTATTCAATTCAGGCCTCGACCAGCGAGGACCCGAACGACGACAATCTCTACCTGGGCATCGTCCTCGCGGCGGTCGTGATAGTTACGGGTATATTCTCGTACTACCAGGAGAGCAAGTCGAGCAAGATCATGGAGTCGTTCAAGAACATGGTGCCGCAATTCGCCACCGTGATCCGGGAGGGTGAGAAGCTCACCCTACGGGCGGAGGATCTCGTGCTCGGCGACGTCGTCGACGTCAAGTTCGGCGATCGGATACCGGCAGACATTAGGATCATCGAGTCACGCGGATTCAAGGTGGACAACAGTTCGTTGACGGGCGAGTCCGAGCCGCAATCGAGGTCGCCCGAGTTCACGAACGAGAATCCGCTCGAAACGAAGAATCTCGCCTTCTTCTCCACGAATGCGGTGGAAGGCACAGCCAAGGGCGTGGTGATCTGCTGTGGCGATCAAACGGTGATGGGAAGGATTGCAGGGCTCGCGTCCGGCCTGGATACCGGTGAGACGCCGATCGCCAAGGAGATACACCACTTTATACATCTCATTACTGGTGTCGCTGTCTTCCTCGGCGTCACATTCTTCGTCATAGCTTTTATTCTGGGTTACCATTGGCTCGACGCCGTCATCTTCCTAATCGGTATTATCGTCGCGAATGTCCCAGAGGGTCTCCTCGCTACCGTGACCGTGTGCCTCACTCTGACCGCCAAGCGAATGGCCTCGAAGAACTGCCTGGTGAAGAATCTCGAGGCCGTGGAGACCCTGGGTTCAACCTCGACCATCTGCTCGGATAAGACGGGAACTCTCACGCAGAATCGTATGACGGTCGCGCACATGTGGTTCGACAATCAGATTATCGATGCCGATACCACGGAGGATCAGTCTGGCTTGCAATACGATCGTACCAGTCCAGGATTCAAAGCGCTAGCCAAGATTGCGACCTTATGCAATCGAGCCGAGTTTAAGCCGGGTCAGGATGGTGAACCGATTCTGAAACGAGAGGTGAACGGCGACGCCTCCGAGGCTGCGCTGCTCAAGTGCATGGAACTCGCCTTGGGTGATGTTATGGGCATTAGGAAACGTAACAAGAAGGTCTGCGAGATTCCTTTCAATTCCACTAACAAGTATCAGGTGTCTATTCACGAATCGGACGATCCAAACGATACCAGGTATCTCTTGGTGATGAAGGGTGCACCCGAAAGGATTTTGGACAGGTGCTCGACTATATTTATCGGCGGCAAAGAGAAGGTAATTTGTAGTAGATTATGAGTGTTTTTTCAGCAACGTACACACAGATGATACTGTATAACACAGTGTACGATCGAGTGCTTTTCAACTACGACACAATATCGTATATACAGCTAAATTATGGTGTCCGACTGTGTTGGCATTTTGTATCACTTCTGGATATCAACATTTTTATATTTGATACTTTTTTCTAGAGCTATATTCCGGATATATAAGAGATAGTCTTTAAAAAAACAAAACTTGATAAAGCTGTGTAACACTGTCACACTGTGCGATTGTATTCCGTTGCTGGAAAGCACTTTATATCTTTCTATATCTTTCTACATTTATCCATATTGTCGTAGGTTCTTGACGAGGAAATGAAAGAGGCATTCAATAACGCGTACCTGGAATTGGGTGGACTCGGTGAACGAGTACTCGGCTTCTGTGACTTCATACTGCCGTCCGACAAGTTCCCGGTCGGCTTCAAGTTCAACGCCGACGATCCCAACTTCCCGGTCGATGGGCTCCGCTTTGTGGGCCTGATGTCTATGATCGATCCGCCGCGGGCAGCGGTGCCCGATGCGGTCGCCAAGTGCCGTTCCGCCGGCATCAAGGTCATCATGGTTACCGGTGACCATCCGATCACTGCCAAAGCCATTGCCAAATCTGTCGGCATCATCTCTGAAGGTACATTCATTTAACAAGCCGTTCTATCGATACGCTTAACCGCGATAACAGTCAGATGACGTTTGAGATTAGATACCAGCTGTAATATCTCCGAGACCTCGTTCGTCGCTCTCGATTATGATGCTTTTATGAGTTTAATCTCTTAATGAGACGTAATTTCAGATAATAGGCCGCGCTTAAGATTTACGACGATCCTATTTACATATGGAACTTGGGGCAGTTTTATTGGAAGATATGCTGTAAAAAGGATGCGACTCAATAACGTGTCCAGCTATTTAATTGACAACATATATTTTATAACTATTCTGTTTGTCTTTAACGATAACAGTATGATAGCGACGGTGGTTCTTTTTAGCATGATTTACACGAACTTTATCGGTCATTAAAGTGTTAAATTCTGTGCAATATTTTTACAAAAAAAAAAAGAGAAATCGAATCTAATAATTTATTTTTCCAATATTTTTACACAGAAATGATAAAAAACCTAAAGTTCATTGTTTGTCTTTTGTTCAGATTTTATATATATATATAATTGCTGCTTTTGCAAATAATATAATATTATTATTTTTATACCAGGTAATGAGACTGTTGAGGATATTGCGCAACGGTTAAATATCCCAGTATCCGAAGTAAATCCTCGCGAGGCTAAAGCCGCGGTCATCCACGGAACCGAACTCAGGGAACTGAACTCCGACCAATTGGACGAGATTCTCAGGTACCACACCGAAATTGTGTTCGCCCGTACCTCGCCTCAGCAAAAGCTCATCATTGTCGAAGGCTGCCAGCGGATGGGCGCGATTGTCGCTGTAACTGGTAAGTTGTAGACAAAAAATGTTTTACTTTGCAACGCATAACGAAGAAACAATTCGATTAGTGTATTAAAAGATCTTTCATAATAAAATTGACTGATTAATTGTCGTGATATGAGAATTATATAATTGTAATGTAATAATTATGTTCGCGCGCAATGCCGTGTGATTATTCGCAATTGACAGTCTGGCGTTGAAGCATTTACACGTGCAATTCATTCACAGGTGACGGTGTGAATGACTCGCCCGCTCTGAAGAAGGCCGACATTGGTGTCGCTATGGGCATTGCCGGTTCTGACGTCTCCAAGCAAGCGGCCGACATGATCCTACTCGACGACAACTTTGCTTCGATTGTGACAGGCGTGGAAGAGGGTCGCTTGATCTTCGACAACCTGAAGAAATCTATCGCCTACACTTTGACTTCGAACATACCCGAAATCTCGCCTTTCCTGGCATTTATCCTCTGCGATATCCCTCTACCGCTGGGTACCGTCACCATTCTCTGCATCGATCTGGGAACTGACATGGTGAGTCGTACAACACGAAAAACGTCGTATGAAAACGTTGACAGATTGGAGTCGAGTAACGACATTTCGAAGAGATGCTCATGTTTCGCGAAAGCTCTTCCAAAGTCGCTACTCGATCTTCTTTTTATTTGTTAATCGAATTATTTCAGCATTTGTGCGTCGTTCATCATGATGTAATAGTTTATAGTCACGAAGGCACGATACTGTTTCTCAAAGATACCGGTGGTCTTTGACATTTCTAATGATTGATAGGTATCAGCGTGATATACGTGTGGAATACCGAACCTGAAGACTGTGACACAAATCAATAGTTCTTCAAATATACATCCAGCAATATTGTTTTCTTTGTAGATAGCGATGCATTTTTCAAGGCAAGGAACCGGTCAAGGCGGTGCAGCTGATTGATCAAATGGACAACAATCTAGACTCGTCGATTCAATCTTTTTAATAATCTTTATATTTTTATTTCCTTTCTTTTAGATCAATTGCGCTGGTGGAACCATCTCGAGCACATATAATATACGAGTTATTTTACAGGAATTTTAAAATGCGTTGCCTTTGAGGAATCCATTTTTTTACTGGATTTAGGAAATAGAAATTTATCATAACGAAAGAGCGATTCTCTCAAGAAACGTTTCTGTTCAGAAACTTTATCTCTGAAAAAAGCTATATAATACCGCGAATTTCCTCCGAACCCTCTTTATATCTCCTAAAGTCAGTTCCTTAATCGATTTGATTTTATTATTTTTCATTTAATTATCTTCTGTTTATTCTCTATGCTTCATCGTAAACGTAAGAATGCTGTCGATGTCGAATCGATTATTACATATAATATCTCGATTTATGAGGAATTATTTTATATTAATAAGATTCTGTATAAGATTTGTTTATATGGCTAAATTAGATTAATAATTTTATTTTTAATGAGATAATCGAGATGCGTCAGCATTCTTACTTCAACATCATCGGAAGATATACTCGTTATCTAATTGTTGGCGTTGTTACTGAGCTCTTTGATAATGTGACGTCAGGTACCCGCCATTTCGCTAGCCTACGAGGAGGCAGAGAGCGATATTATGAAGCGACAACCACGAAATCCCTTCACTGACAAGCTAGTTAACGAAAGGTAACACATTTACAACATACAACGAAATATTGACAAGCTACGTACAAATTTTCTATAGTACGAAAGAGTGATGATACGCTGTATTCTCAAAGTCTCTTCCATAAATTTATTAAAAATATTAAGAAAACTATTGTCAATTTTTGCAATGTGTATTTTTCACGCAAGAAATTCGTTTAAACACTTTTTTTTAATGGAATAGAACTTCGAGAATTCAAATACACGGCGATTGCTCTCTCATTCTATTGGCTATACACTTCTTTTTTATTTTTCTTTCGGCGATTTTAGTAGTTAGTTGATTCAATCTCTTCTATTGTACGACTTATAAAATACGATGCGAACATTTCGGTTCGCGTCTCTCTTTCTCGGGTTTCGCTCGTCGTTCGATACTCACGTACGACAGGAACTGTGAACTCTGGGTAACGATTCGCGGGCAAATTGATCCCTCGTGTTCCATTCATAATCATTTTTACGCGTTAAACATAATTTCAACGAGCAAGTACTTGTCTCTTTCGAATATTTTCTTTTCAAGTACAAGGAAAAGAAGTTTATGCTTTCTTTTCCCTTTTAAATTATGAACTGTAGTTTGGTCATTGCCGCCAAGGTCACTCGAAAGACTGACGTTCACGCGATGTAGGGATTAATTTGCCAAGCCTATCGCTATCGAGTTGTTGTCGAGTCGGACACGCTAGGACAAAATGCGGATAAGGTAACAATGATGGGAAATGGTGCACGCAGATGCAACACTTCAACGGGTGTTTGGTTGCTGGGACACGCGAGCTTTATTTTCAGTCCGATATTTCTTCTTCTCTCTCTCTCTCTCTATTCATATTATTCTGTACTCGCTCTCTAACAATAAGCTGGATTGAATCTCGTTACACGACACGCTTGCTCGTCCGCGATTTGTCGTTTATTATTTCTTACGGGGCTTGTATCTCTACGAAAAAGAAGTAGTTCGAATTTATTATTCCGTATTATCTTCACGAAAGAGATGATCTTGTGATATACTTGTTGGAACCATATTTTTCCTTTTTTTTTTAATTTGTCGCGAGACGATCGAATTGCGAGACGGGCAATCGCAGATTTTTCCTTGTCGAAAAATTTGCTCTTCCTGTTAAATTAACGGTCACAAGCGCTTCCATCACGATGATCCTTGATCGTATTAGTGTTGTTTCGTTACGCTGAAGGTAAGCCAATCTCTTATTGTAAAGCCTCTCTTTATATATATATATCTATATATATATCTTTTTCTTTTTTTTTATATATAAGTCTCTACTACTTACTATCTCTAGTTTTATTCTTGTCGAGAGCTCCTCGTCGTTGTTTTATAATTCCTCGCTGCAGTCGTCATCCTGTCGTGAACTGCCACTGGCTTGAGGTGTATATGGGTTGCTGAGACGTCCACAAGAACATATAGACAAGCATCGTTGTGAGAACTCGCATGCGTGATCGTTCCCTTTGGTATTTTATCTGTCGCCTCTTTTTCTTATTCGACAAATTTGGCATTTGTCTCTTTTACCGCCACATCCCTATATCTCTCCACCTTTTCTATATACTACTATTATAATACATCTATATCTCTTCTCATCTATTTTCTGTATTCTTTTTTTCACACCATTCTTCCGCGCCCTATTGCTATCAGTTTTTTTTTCTAGCCTTCCTCTTGAAATCTCTTGAAATCGTGACACATCCTAAAAGCAAGGGGCACTTGTATATTGTGTTGTGAATATTGTGTGGTGTTTATATCGTAAATGTGCAACTCGACTTGTTAATACTTATTACTTTGATCGTTTGTGGACCTGCTTCGCGTCGTCATCGATACCACACGAAGAGATACTCAAGCGACATTGAACGATATAGAGACTCTGAAGACTTTTTATTATACTATTTTAGCTCGGAAGCTCGAAAGTGTTGTAGATTATAAACGGTAGTACTCTCTCTTTCTCTCTCTCTCTCTCTCTCTCTCTCTCTCTCTCTCTCTATTTTTTCTCCGTAAATACTTAAGTAGAATAGCATTATACGATAGAATAGAATTGTCATTAATACGTCGGTTTGTGCACACACGAAAAACGTGATATATTTCTTTCTTTTTTTTTCTGTATGTAACTCTGTCTTTCTTTTCTTCATTTTTCTTCTATCTACCTCTGTCTTGTCTATCTATATCTATCTATCTATCTACCTCCATTGTTCCTGGCTGCCTCTATTGCCTCGGGCCAGGTTTTATCGTTGCTGCGCCTCGCTCGGGAAAATGAAATTCTTTTCAACTTGGAATTGGTTCACATTCACATTTCGCTTGGCGAAAATCCATCCGATGGTTCAACATTACAGAATACACATGTAAATGAACAAGGACGAGATTGTTGCGATTGTTCCGAAATTATTATTGCAAATCACCAACTTGAAATTATTGTAGGATATTTTATTTATTTTGCTTTCGTCCAAGACTTTGAAAAGAAACTCTGAAACGCAGCGATACAATTTAATATCAGCTGTGTGATCGATCGAATCGATGGATGCAGAACGGTAAGATTTTGTCGAATGATTCATCACCTGTGCGCGCATTTCATATTTTTCTCATTATTCCCTTTCTTTTTCTCGTGACTTGTTTCTCCCCCCTTTTTCCCCTAGAATTGATCTAGATTTTTCTTAGAGAGAGAAAAGCTATATGCATCAGATTCTGCATCAAGCGATTCACTTTCTTTCTTTCTCAGTCAATCTCGCAATTGAGCAACGATCGTTCTTAGTCATTTTCACAGCGAAAAAAGGCAAGTTTCGTCGACGAAATTGCTTTAGGGAAGGGACGAGGAGGATTTGCTTCGAGCAAAGAAACGCGTTTACGGTGATGGAAATTAACAAATGCTTCGCATTGGAGTCGACGAAGCTTAATCTTAATCAGCTAGTTGAATTCTAATCGATCTTACACGTACATTATATCGCACTCCTGGAAGAACATTACTGCAAATCAAAAAGTAAAAAATCTCACAAAAGCGCGAATCACTTTTATCTATAGTTATAGTTCGACAGCATGTCATATTTTCGTTCAAGTTGACTCGAGTATTTTACGTGCTTGGATAATTTTGAGACTTTATATTATTGTTGGAGACATATTATAGCGTTCCATAATTACAAAGGTGAGAATACAAAATACTCTTTTCGAATTGTAGTAGTCTTCTTGCGGGAGTAGTCTGTATTTACATATAAATAGACATGTGTGTACATATATATATATATATATATATATATGTAAAATATATATATATATATTTACACAAATCTTTGATGCTCAGTAATTATTATCATTATTATTCTTGTCCTGATCTATTATACTAGTCTTATTATTATCATTATTACTATACAACCACAAGCCAGCATCGTTACTTATTATAGTTACTGAATTTTTACTGCCATTACTGTTTTATCTACTATATATCACAGCTGCCGCTGCTACTATTACTACTACTCTATATTACTATTACTATACTTACTACTATTTACTATACCGTTTGTTCTACTTGCCACCATATATCACCGCCAAAAAAAAGAGAGAAAGACACTTTTGTACATTTTTGAGCGTCATGAACTTTTTCTTGCAGTTTTTTATTCTTTACAGTCCTCTCACGTTTTATTCTGTAATGCGCTGCCTACTGCCGCTGCCTACTCTACCCACTCTGCGACTGGCAACTTTCTAATGGGTGCTGAAACGACTGCATACATGTGCAAAAACGACAATTGCTAAACCGGGGGAATCGGGAGATTTTCATTATGCATATATTAATTGGAGAAACGTGGGAAAAATGCTGCGTGGTGGCAGCAGCCCCCTGGTGTTTCCGAGCAAGCGGACAAGCGCGATTCTTTTTACTTTATGGGAATGTTTGGATAATTTGTCATTTTAGTAAACGGAGTCTTTTACAAAGACAAGAATATGCATCAGGGGTTTCGCCGCCGCGATACTAACGGAAACGATGCTCGAGATCGTATTCAAAGTGTACACGAAAGAGAAGGGAGCTTTCTCAACTGAATCTCAGAAGTGCTCGATATTCGACACATTTCGTTTCATTTATCCCTTAGATTTCTTAGGCTTTTTTATGATACTCAGGCTATAGTTTTGAGAACTAATTTTTTTTTTGAAATTATAGTTCTGTACACATTTTTAGAATTGATTAGAGCACAACTTTTTAGTCCAGTTCTTAGTACGTATAATAAAGTTGTTGCAAAACATTCAAATCACTTTTACTCTTTATCTCTCATATTGTGGAACATCGAGCACCGCTGAAGATACGATTCAGTTGAAAAATACGAGAGGATGACTATTGGAGATTCGCAACACAAGGAGACGTTGAAGCGAAAAACAGAAGGTTCACGTGTGCGCGTGCAATTTTACTTGTGACTTTTCATTTTCACTCGCTTCAGATATGGTACAAATGATTTTTTTTTTAAATTTTTTTTCCGTCGATTGTTCCAGGCCATCTATCTAAACGCAGCGCTAATCCGATGCACAGATACACTGGCTACTGTTCGCAGATTTTCTCTCTCTGCTATACACTTTAATGCAATTTTACGGCACAATTTTCTAACGCAATTTTTTGAACAGCAAAAGTGACTTATTCCTGCAAAATAGGCTGCGTTTAGGACGAAACCGGTCGCGACGATTACCTTGTTCAACAATTACCTTAGAAACATCAATCTTTGAGAATTTTCCATGAGAATCCGTAAGCCGTATATGTTTGACTTGTGCAATCTCCAAATCTCACTCTTTCTTTCTTTTTCGCTCGCACTAGCGCGTACATACGCATTGACCAAGAGAGAGAGTGTATGTGTGCATAAAATATAGTAGTATCATAATGCGGTTTACATATATCTCTCGCATATAACTTCTTTGTAATGCGGGCGGGGGAGGGGGTAATTAGTACACTTTCTAATCAATGGTGGATGGCAGGTGCCGGCCATCTCGCTAGCCTACGAGGCACCGGAGTCGGACATTATGAAACGGCAGCCACGCGATCCTTACAGAGACAATCTTGTCAACCGAAGGTGGGTCTCTCAATTACCCACCTAACCGAAAGAAAAAAAACAAAAAACCTCTATTGCAAACCTATTGCACTCACACATCCATATCGTATCAAGACTAATTTAAACACACACGTTTTTATTCACGTTTTTATCGCATCCATCTGTATCACATGTACACGTAACACAAACACGTATACGTTTACCAGTACATCGCACGGACAAATATACCCGTCGGGATGGTCAGACCTGATTAATCCTTTGTCTAGCAAGTAGAGAGACTCGAAATATAACTAAACCGAGGACACAAATTCGACTCCCAGTGCATGAGCGAACGTTAATGTTGCCTGAGACACTTATTTTAACGATTGAGGATAGATTAGAAGAGGTTGACTAATCAGCTAATTAGAGTAATGCTAAACAAAGGATTAATAAGGATTAAGAATTACGTGGTATATTGAAATATTACTTTGTTGAAATGTAACGGTGATGGAAATCAAGTTTGAAATCGATAGCATATGTAACGTTATGTTTTCAACAGCGATTGACTGCTCCGACGAGGCCAAACTTACACGTAATATACACAGCAAATGTATCTTGCGACCAAAGTTAGACGTGATCTCACAATCGCTCGCCCCAGGATTGTGTATACATGTGTACCTACTCGATTCACCTGGTGCACTAATACACGCCATTTCTGGCCCAGTTATTGTGCGATTGCAACTTGGATCGCGATGTTTACACACGACAATACACGCAATAGCAGAGTGTCTGCTGACTTTGATAATCGAGTATCTGTTCTAGTTTCTCTCTTGAAACTTCATTTCTTCGTAACTTTGCATGCATCTCAAAAGGAAAAATCGGTCGAACGACAAAATTATTACATCTTTTAAAATTGATTTATCGATGAAACGATGAAAATCTTGGCATTTTTTCTTCCTAAGGATCTCGAGTCCTAGAATAAATTTAAATTAGTAGACACTCTGCGGAGAAGCAACGCCCGACTCTAGGAATCTAGTTGATTAGCATAGAGCACAGAGCAAGTTTTTGACCTATAGAGAAAAATTATCAGATGTTGAGAATGCCGAATGCTTTTTTTAGAATCTTACACTTAGAATATTTCACCCGAATTAACACATACTTACACGCTGCGATCTAATCGTTTAGCTTTGAACTATCTACGTGTTAATTTTTCTTAGTCGTTGCACTAGGTGTATGCGCGCAAATCGCGAGTGAATTCCAATCAAAACACCGAAAACATCAATATTGTGCTGTCAATAATTGATTATATAATCAGTTATTACACTGATAATATTCGTAATATAGAGTAATAATGAATATCCAAAATAATGGAGAGATGTGGGAAAATTCTATTTCGATATTGACAGCATCAAGTTCTAATCTATCAGTCATGTTATTCGATGGATACACACACTCACACATCTGTTTCTGGAAATTTCATTTTATCCAATAAAGTATCAAAATATTCAATATAAAATAAATAAAATAAATATATAAAATAAAGATTAATCGAATTTTATAGAAAAAAAAACTTTTCCAGGAACAGATACGAGTTCGATAGATTTTTATACGGTAGATCGAGAGTGTTAGACATCATCGAAAGCATTCGCCAGAGAAACGGCGAATTCGCGATTGCCTATCGACGATTTTTTCGCAAAATGCACGTTTCATCTCAAGCTGTTTTCTTCTTCGCTGTCTGATCTATTTTTTTAAATATTTCTCATTGAGGAAGAAGAGCACGCAACTCTGGTGTTGATCGCCGAGAGCAGCTTTTGAAAACGAGCGACAAGCACGAAAATGCACAGCTTGAGCGCGCGCAGCCTCTTTCTTTCTTAGCGAACGCGATCTACGGATGTTGGATCGTGATCTACGACCTTGGATATCGATCTTTATCGCGCTGCCGCTCTGCAGCCCTTCTCTCTGACATTTGACATTTCGTATCAGCTGAGCACGCTTGCGCGACCGCTAACTCGCTAAAACTATACAGGCTCTTCTCCGTTTGACTGCGCTTTCCGGACTCGACGAGGACCGGAACCACTAAACCGTCTCAGTTCGACTAACTATGATTGCTGAAGCAGTCGCATGCGATTCGCTTCCAAACTCGACCCTGCGCACAGATATTCTCTTATTGCATGCGTCTTACAATTGCTTTGACGACATTAATCGATTACTCGTAGTAATCTCTCGTAGAGTTTAGTATAACTTTAATTGCAGATATAATAACAGGAACAAACGAAGACTGAAACATGGTTTGATTGTATTGATAATCTGGCTTACAACAGTCGACTTGTAGCTTTCGTGTAATTTTAGTTGTAGCCTAAAGAAAATGAGAAATTTTCATTTCCATCTCTTTTCCATCTTCTTTCTCGTATCCTGTAATCTTATTAGATTATTTAGTAACTATCGATAATATTGCATGAGATGGAAAAATTCTCTGTAGCCAGATTATCGTGAATGAATCGAGACGTTCGAAGCAAGAGCGGATATCTTGTAAGAGTCACATTTACAAAGCCTCGCATATTATTATTGCGGGTCACTTGCTTTGAACTTTTCGATTATGGCATACTAGTATGCCAATTAAATCGCTTTGGTATTAATGCTAACGATCAACGGGCTGGAAACGTGCGCGGGGTAAGCTTTGGTAGCGCGAGGTAACTCTAGGAAATGGGCAGCTTCGATGTTTTAACCGGTGCAGCTTGTCACTGTGAGAACCGACAAGCGACAACTATGTGTGTCTGTCTGTCTGTCTGATTTATCCGTCCGTCTCTGTCCTTATTCGCTCTATGTGGCATGCATCTTATTGTCGAGAACCGATCGTTAACCGTCCGCCTAGTGTGTTGGTAAGTAATCTGCATTTTGCTCCTAACCGGTGACTATGGCTTCCGTTAACTTTAACACAAACTTTGACTTATTAGAAGTAATGCCAAAGTCGGACGATCGATGGCGAACGCGCTTTCGCGGGATGTCGAGGAATCCTGAAAACACGCCGTCTGCTGACTTGAAAAGGTTTCTCTACCGAGAATCCGGGGGAAAAAATTTCGCAAAATGAATGCAGCTTATTCGAAAACCACTTTAAAAGGAGTCTGCACTCAATGTACCCCTTTTTCTCAAAAGCTTGTGGAAATCTTGACCTAAAATTTAATTTTTTCGAGCTTTTGAAGTCGATCGCGAACCATTGAATGCTACATTGATAAAAATCTAGAATTACTTTCGGAGGATGGAAACGTGTTGTAAAATGCATTAAAGTTACGTTACGGCGAAGAATAAAGATTCCTCGAAATCCAACATAAAGCAGCGTCATTGGTCTCCCGAAAGGAGAATGCTCTTCAACGAGTCTATCTGCATCTAGGCTTATTTCGATGGCGTACGGTCAAATCGGTATGATCCAAGCTGCAGCCGGTTTCTTCGTCTACTTTGTCATTATGGCTGAGAATGGATTCCTGCCCTTGTATCTGTTTGGCATCCGAAAGCAATGGGACTCTAAGGCTATCAACGATTTAACTGACAGCTACGGTCAAGAATGGGTAAGCACGATCAATACTGTTTTGTCTATAACTGAAAAAAAGAACATAAATAAAAATTTAATTTGATTTTTAGTCAAACTATTCTAAATTTTTCGTTATATTCATATATATTATTAGAGAGAGTTATAACTGATTGTGCAAATTTATCTTTTTACCAAAACATAAAACAGACCTATAGGGATCGCAAAACGCTGGAGTTCACTTGCCACACAGCTTTCTTCGTATCGATCGTAATTGTGCAATGGGCTGATCTGATCGTCTGCAAAACGCGCCGCAACTCGATTATTCATCAGGGAATGAGAAACTGGGCTCTGAACTTTGGTCTCGTGTTCGAGACCGCCCTTGCTGCGTTCCTAAGTTACACGCCTGGTATGGACAAGGGTCTCCGTATGTTCCCACTCAAGTATGTATTATTCATCTTTGCGCATCAAGATCCAAATTTACATATGTATACAAAAATCTTTAATCATGATTTATTTTATTCATAAATTTCTCTTTCATACATTTAACGCTCTAAACAAATTCAATCTAAACTCGACTTTCAAATTGACAGTGTATAATGCGATACAACTGGAAAATGCAATAACCCATATATGTAACGTTGCAGATTTGTATGGTGGTTACCAGCTCTGCCGTTCATGTTCGCCATCTTCATTTATGACGAAACGAGACGATTCTATCTCCGCCGGAATCCAGGCGGCTGGCTCGAGCAAGAAACTTACTATTAAACGCAAAGAGGATTAAATCACACGCATGCAGAGCGCGCGCGCAAGAGGACGAGTGAACGGACGAGAGAGCGAGAGAAAGAGAGTGAGAGAAAGAGAGAGAGCGAGCGAAAGAGAGAGAATGATGATGAGAGAGAATGAGACGCATACTCACACCTGAAAGATACACCTAAAAAAAAAAAGAAAAATAAATAAATCACTCATATTGAACAGATATATAACACTTTTCACACGAAACGTGCTACTGGGTCTGTCCGAGTCACGTGTCGGGAGAGCAACGGATGGACAACGAAGGATGATTACGCGCAGAGATTCGTGCTTGCTCTCACGACGAGAAAGAGGGCGCGAGACTATTTCTCCGCGACGTGGAGAAGACCCTTTAGCGCTATAGATACAGCGCGAGGTACAAAGAGCACGCTCGTCGTTCTGGCTTTGCTGCCAACAATCGCTTGCACGCTTGCGTGCCGGATTTCATAGTCTCAAAAAAATTGATCCGGTGTTCGAGAGAAAAAAGAAGGATTCGTCGAGGAAATTTCACCAGTCACCATCGTACGAATCATGGGAAGCCAATTGGGAAGTCGCGCCTTCTGCTCTGCGTTCAACAATACAACTACTACGGGGCTTTCCGGTGATGATTGGTGCTGCTGCTGCTGCTGCTACTACTACTACGTCAGATTCTGGACGGGATATATTCCACAAGCGTCGTTCGAAGATGGAACGAAGGAAAGAGAGAAAGAGATAATTGAGAAGAGTCGCTTGGTGACGTCGCGATGCGATTGATGCAATGTGAGTGTCAGGCCTAAAGAAAAAAAACGCGATGAAAGAATGCCGCAACGGCAACGAGAATGAAAGTCCGGAACGGCAGCGGAAATGGACACACGCTCGAGAGACCGGGGCGTTAAATGCGCGACAGAGAATCACGGAATCACGTGCATTCTTATGTCTTATGCCGGATGCGAATTACTACATTCACGCGACTTCTTATACTATTAGTGGCGTATTATCGTAGCACATCTTTGCGTTACCAAGAAACTTTATAATAATAGGCTTTCGTTGATCGTCGATCAATGCGCGCAAAATAACGGTACGCGAAAGATCGGCATATACACACAACACGCCCTCCATTGAGAAGAATTTTAGGTCGACGACAAGAAGATAGAGACTCGCGGAAAAAACCAAGGGGAGCAGAGCAAACCGAAAAAAGTGCTCAATATAACAGGAGAACCGTTAAAAAAAATTCTTAGGCATCTCGCGTGACACCGAAATATATACTTCGTACGAAAATCTAATTACTTGTTAATTGTAACGATGGACCTGATATGGCAGAGAATATATCGGCACGGTCTATAGTTATACGTCATGATAAAATAACTAAAATAAAGGGAAGAGAGAAAGTGAGAGAGAGAGAGAGAGAGAGAGAGAATTATATAAATAACTAAATGAAATAAAAAAAAATAATAAGATATAATTAAATAAAACCGCATTCGCAGTATTTATTATTATTAAATAAACGACATACACATTCGGTTTTGAGTCTTAATCCGTGTAGCTGTCAGGACGAAAACGGCAAAGACGTATCGCGTAGTTTCAGTATAGTTATGACTCTTAGCTCGAAGATAATATCACACTAACACACGGGGAGACAGATAGGATGGAAAAAAAGTGCGCGTTGATCGGGGTAAATTCCAACGGAGAGTGGGGTGGTTCGTCCCATCGTAATCGAGCAGCAGGAGAATGGAAAGAGGTATATAATTAGGCGGTGAGAGAAGCTATATATGTGGACGTATGTAAAATAATTATCAACAGAATCACTACCACAAATTGACGAGGATATACGAACTGATAAACGATATGTTATGTAATTGCACGGGCGGATAGTAAATGTGCGGCGGGTGGTCGCGGCCTGGTTGCCGGCGAACCGGAGAAAAAAAAAGAAAATAAAACCTGCCGCATGCCATTTGAGAGGATAAATGAATTATTATAAAACGTTATTGATTAACGAAAGAGGGAGAGATGATAAGAGAGATAACAAAAAGTTTAACGAGGCAGGATAGTGGGAAATAATACACGAATGCACTTTGTATTAGAGAAGGGATGCGGGATATAGAACGGGAAAGGAAAGGGAGATCGGAGCAGAGAAAGCGAGTAAAAAAATGTTCTTACTTAGGTAAAAGCTAAATGAAGAATATAAAAAATTCCTTCTCTTAGTTTTTCATAGATTTAAAACGCCAGCGGGACAGCTCGCTATAAATCATTGACCCCCCCGCAACGCGGAACGCTCTGTGTAGCAGCGAAAAAAATGTGTAGGATCTCTCTCGTCAGCCAGCCGGCGAGCGCGCTGTCCGTGTTTTGCTTGCGTATGTGTGTGTATGCTTGCGCGTGTATGTACGTTGTGCATGTAGTATCGAAACAACACACAACGGTGACTTAAAATGCCTGCCACGCGACTTTTTTTTTCTTTTTTTTTCCCTGGCCCGGGACGATCCGAGACTTTTCTCATCGACGCGATCTCGCAACCTATGTACACACACGAATATAATTATATCCTTCCTCCTCTCGTCTCCCCCGTGGGTCTCTCTCTAAGTCGTTGCCCGCGTTCGCTTCGGAATCGCGATCGCGACGTTGATGGTCGATGCGAGAAAAGCCCGCAGGACGAGAAATCGGGGTGCTATTTTTTTTTTTATCCGAGCGAACGAATTTTCCTTTAACGATAAACGATTTATCTGGATACTTTTTTTCGGATGATCAATGAATGAATACGCTCTCTCTCCACTTTTCGAAAATAATTAGAATCGATAATCGCGAAACAGTAGGATTTTAAAACATCGTTTTCAGCTTTGTCGCGTGTATCGTTGAAAGAATTGTATAGAAACGCGATTAATTTAAGGACACCCTCGTATGTATGTCGTGGCGACTCTCCAAATAATTAATCATTCCATTTACTTTCCGAACAATGACGCTTCTTTCGTTTTCGCGCGTCGCGGAATATCCCCAAAATCCAACTCATCGTTTACTTTTACAAAGAGAGAATGGAGCAAATTGCGCGTGGCTATATTGTTACAATTATATCATGTTATATAATGGCCCGCGAAGATGATGATTCTATATTCTGATAATGATGATTGCGTCCTCGTCGATCGATTGTGGCGAACGCGGGAGGACTCGATGAGTGAACATGCGACGCTCGCTCGGCGGCCCAGGCCCAAAAAAACTACCCTAAGTGTTCAATAATCGACGTGTTCTCGAGGTGCCCCGTACAACGCGAAACGTTTCTCCCTTCGCCGGTTTCCTCCGTCCGGTGCCTCGAATCTCGCCGCCAGGACGGGCCCTTAATAAGGCCCGGCGTTTCCCTCGACCTCTCGCGCGAATCGATTTTGCTCTGTTGCGCTTTCGCACGGGAGATGGCGCGAATTGCATTCCGGCGACTGGACGGTTTCACGGAAAGGGATGAAAATGCCTGAATGAAAATTCAAACATTCTCAACCCTTATCGTTTCAGGCCGTTCCCGTTCGTCGTCTTTCTCGCGGAGGAGAGAATCGACGAAGCGAAGTGTTGTCACGCACGAGTGTCGGATAAAAAGGCATCGGATAGAGACGGATCGCAGGCGCGAGCTCGTTACATCGGGAACTGGAATTCGAGAATTTTACGTTTCAAAAGTATCCATCGGCCGATCGGTGCATCGCGCGAAAAAGAAGAATCTTTCAAAATTCGGACGCTATCATCCAATTTATCGCGGCGTTTCCGAATCGATCGACGCCGATCAACCAACCAAATTCTCCTCCTCTGTCCGCGTTATATTATATAGGCGAAAAAGAAAAATTGTACTTTTTAGGAAGAGACAGCGATTTTATTAATGTCGCGACACGGCTCTCGCGCCGTAAAAAGATCGATCGCTTCTGTCACAACGAAAATGCGGGGAAATTTCGTAAAAACGTTCTCGTGCGCGATTGTTATTCTTGATGGATTGCCGTTTTTACGGATTGGATGCGAATGAAAAAGTGCAGGATCGAGAGAGAAAGAATGAAAGAGAGAGAATGAGAGAGAACGAAAGAGAGGAACATACTTGCGCGTATGTGTGCGGTGGATATCTTTGAAGCTACGGAGAAGATCCGCGGCGTTGTCGACAGGGTGTTCCGTGCCTGTAGGGGGGCCGTAGGAGCCCAAAAAAAAAAAAATGCTTTGCCGTCGTGCGCCGCCTCTTTACTTTAGGCTAATAATTTAAATATTATTAATAAAATATAATAGTATAATAATATAAATAAATAATAATGATAAATAATAATAATAATAATAATACATGTTACAATAAGATATTATTAGATGTAATTATTATATATGGTTTAGTCTAGATCGTGTTGTTGAAGAAAAAAAACAAAGTACGTATAAGCGAACAAAAAAAAAGATGAGGAACAGAGTAGAAAAGAGTGATGCGACGATGGAGGGAAGACAAAACGAGGGTGGAAACCGAGACACAGGCGGGGGAGAAAGTTTCGGTCTAAGACCACACAATCCTTTTGCGGTGGACTGATGCAGGAAGATGCTGCGCTTTTTACACGCTTACTATAACATTTATTCGTGAGATTTAGAGAAAGAGAGCGAGAGGAGGAATCCCTAGAAGGATATTTCCTGTATATGTATATGCGTATATCTCTGTGGATATTATCTCATTTCGTTTCCCTCTTTTAAAAATAAGCTCTAAGGCATGTAACGTGGCTCTTCGTCATTCTCTTCAAAAACATAAATTCATACATATATGCACTGATAAAAAATAAACGCAGTTTTTCATTTCAAATCCTTTGTGTTCTCTAATACTCTAATTAAAAGGAATCCTCGCAAAAAACAAAATGGCGCCGCGCGCTTGCACAGTCCGCCGCATATCGCGTCGGAATCATTGAACGATTAAAGAGTTTAAAAAAAAGAGCGAGAGAGAGAGGGAGAGAGAAAAAATGTAAGGCGAACGATGTTTTATTAATATTGTATATATATTTTAAATAATTGAATGACGGACAAACAGATCGCACGCGCGAACGACGGCGACCTCGACCGAGAAGCGTTCCTCGTTCGAGGAGAGAGGATCGCTTCTTCGTCTCACGGGTCTATCCGTATATACACTCCTTTTTTTCTGTTTCTTCTTTTTTTTTCTTGCGTTACAAACGCCGCGTATACCACACATCTGTACACGTAATACACCGCGTATAGAGAATGAGAGAACGAGAGCGAGAGAGCGAAAGAAAAAAAGAAAGACAGACAGAGAGAGAGAGAGAGAGAGGAGAGAGAGAGAGAGAAACACGGGTTTACACGCTCGGAAAAATGACACGTTACTATTACACCGCTCCACCAGCTATATCTATATTCTGATTGACGATTGACGATTCCCTTTCGCAATTAATTAATTATTATTCGATAAGTTCTGTTTTTACACACGCGACACACATGTGAAAAATACATCGCAACCTCTGAGATACGAATACAACCCAAGTGTCATTACTTTTGATGTTAAATAAAAAATACATAATTAATATATAGAGCGGCCTCCCATTTTCCATTTTTCCTCCATCTTTCCTCTCTTCGACCGACATCGAAAAATTAAATTAAAAAAGGAAAAAAAAAAGAAACTGCGCGCGCCATTTTTGCGACTGTGTCTAATAGGAGCAAACACGTGACGAGCTCGCTATATTATTATTAATCGTTACTTTTTGTTGTATTTGTAATTATTATATTATCGTATTATTGTTGTTGAGATAAAGATATTCAAGAGTATCAATTAGAAATTTACGATAACTAGAAAGTAACTAATGAACCGTTCAAATATTTTGCAAACGAAACTACAATTCTCGAGGAAATATCTGCGACTTGTAAATGTGTATAAAAATTACGATAAAGATTATATCATATAATGTATTTAAATCTCGGTTCTTTTTAATTTACTGTTGTGAAATATTCATTCATACGATCCTACATCTCTCGCACCAAATTATATTAAATATAATTTATTTATAAATGCCTCCAGAAACTTGAAAATAATATTAAATGTAAATTTTATTATACGAGTTTAAAATTAATTTTCTGTCTGTGAAGAATAAGCATAGCTTCTTATATATTTATATAGATTTTTATTTATATTATATATACAAATAATTTTATTTTCTATTTACAACAAAGCAATATTAATACAAACATTTCCTTTTTCGCTGATTGAATAGAATTTTATAAGGAAACATTTATTCGAATGAATTTTCGATCTTTATAAATAGCTGATCAATTTCTCTAGATTACATATATATATATATATGTGTGTGTGTGTGTGTGTATATATATATATGTGCACTTAACGTCACAAAGGTGTTCGAATCGTTTGATTGATCAATTAGAAGGAAAAAATCTTTGCCCTTTGATTGATCAAACAATTTAAATTCAAATTTGTGTTTTCGATCAATCGATTGACATTCGACCAATCGATTATAACCTCGTTCTACGATTCAGGTCTCATGTTGATATTATTTGAAAATTTAACGGCCAATGATATCCAATAGAAATGTTTTGCCCATTGCTAATGACATGCGCAGCAGATCACGTGACACGAACTCGATAGATTCGTGCCTATTAATGCAATGTCGGGCGCTTTTGATTTTGATCAACGTCTTACTTATTTCGAGCGCTATATTGAACACGCATAATATTAATGTATATACGGAATAATTTATAATAGAATTTATTATTTTCTTAGAAATCTTTTATTCTATTTTCTCTATAAAAAATTGACAATATCATGCTTTTCAATTAAATAGATACGCTACTGAGTCATCTGACTTTTACGCTAATACGCATGCGCGAAAAATTTCATCGCGGTTGTACGTTGTGTGTACATATTCGTAAGGTTGATGTTTAGCGGTTGTAATTTTTAACAGACAAAAACAAATATGGTTCGAGCGATTGACAATGGTATGAAAAATATATTCTGCAAAGTGCAGTATAATAAAATTGATCATCCGCAGTGCGTGAAGCAACTCACGAAATTATATGAGAAAGTAAGTCTAAGTTATGTTCAAGTATTTTCATGTATTTGTTATAATTAGCAGTTTACAATTTATTTTTCGAGATTTACAATAATTTATAATATCTCAAGATGGAATCTTATAATATCTCAAGATTTATAATTTATAATATCTCAAGATTCATTAATTTATAATATCTCAAGATGGATTAATTATATTTGTATAATATTTACTGATTCTTTTATTTTTTCAGAACGATTTTGATATATTCTGGAATTGTTTTATTTCATTTTTAAAAGTACCTCTCACGATGGCACAACAACATCTGCATGTTATGAACACATTAGAGTTTGCTGCCAAATTTGCAGTGAGTTTCTATTCCTCGGAGACAGAAACTGTGGAACCAATGACTCCATTTCTTAACAAGTTATTCAATTTTCTGCTAACGCATCACAGTGCTAAAGATAAAGCAGTGAGATATCGCATATGCCACTTCCTAAACTTACTCTTAAATTCAATGGGCGATGATGCTTTCATCGATGATAATCTGTGCGATCAAATTACAGTCAGTATGATGGATCGATTATTGGATAAGTCGCCTAAAGTTAGAGCGCAGGCTGTTTTAGCTCTTCACAGATTGCAAGATCCAACAGATGAAGAATGTCCTGTAATAAAAATGTATATATTTCATGTATCTAAAGATCCAAGTGCTGAAGTTCGCAGAGCGGTTCTCTCCTCTATGGGCAAAAATCAAAAGACCTTACGAGCTGTACTGATAAAAACACGAGATATCGATGACACTGTGCGCAAACTGGCATTTGAGTTTATAAGTAAGATCACAGTGCGTTCCTTGACTATTGAACAAAGAGAACGTTTGTTGAAGGATGGTCTCAAAGACCGAGCCGAGATTGTCAGAACGTGTGTAAGCAATGTTTTATTGCCAACATGGCTACGATGCTACAATGGAGAGTATATAAGTCTTGTACATGCTCTCGATGCTGGAATAGGAACAGAGACTGCTACCTTAGCTTTACAGATACTATTCAAGTGAGTATATCTTATAAATAATAAGTAAATAAAAAAAAAATATATATATATATAAAAGATATAAATCAATAAGAGAAACCAAATTTTATATCAAATATTCTTTTTACAGAGATGCTAATTAAAAAATTTATTGGAGCAAGTGCCAATAGATAAAGACACGAGACTAATTCCACTAACAAGCTTATCGAATGAAAATGTTTTATATTGGAAATGTGTAATAAAACATCTTCAGTCTCTTTCATGTACGGAAGAATTAGAATTAATTATTCCAGAATTATCTGGATTTTGTAAATATATACGCGAATTTATGACTCTTATATCTTCCAAGTCATACGAAGTATGGGAAAAAGAGTGCCATAAGTTTATTCTGCTACAACTCTTTGAGATATCTACAACTTATGATCTCGCAGATGAAGTGGGTAGAAAGAATCTGAACGAATTAATAATAGATGCTCTAATGAGCGATTACTGCTGCGATAAAATAATCGAGTGTGTAGTAAGTCATTTGACAGAAGTGATACCAGATGTCAATAATGTATTGGACATAACTGCCAACGTTATCAGCGAGACTAGGCTACCTTCAAATGAAAATGTAAATACTCAACAAGCTACTCAACAAATTACTGTGGAAGAACAACAAGAGAAAAATATGCAAGTAAGTATTAGAATCTAGTATTGTCAATATATTAGAGACAAGAAAAATGTCGGACACAATTTCACTTTCTAGAGTATTTACTTTTACATTAATATCTAGATCCTACTTTTTATATTTTACGCGCATCTCTAATTTCTTATTAATGGATAAATCTACTTTTTTTAACATTTAATTTTAGAAAGCAAGATTAAAAGTTGATATATTAGAACTCGAAGAGGAATTATATCAAGCAGTCAAAGAAGAGAATTTTTTACAAGCCGAAAGTCTAAAAGAGAAAATAAAGATTTTGAAAGAGGAAATGAACCAATTATCTAAGATTCCTGAAGCTGTAATAACCGAAGATATACGCGAGGAAAAAAATGATTCTGCAACTATGATGAAGTGCCTCAACATGTTATACTCTTCGATGCAATTTGTTCGCGTATTAACACCCACACTTAGGAGTTTGATGTCTCTTGTTTTACAAAGTCTTGACGTAAGCATATATGACATTATATACACATATGTGTATATATAATTATAATATTCTACTTCTACAACATTTTTCGTGCAGTCATTTATTATATTATCATATTTTAATTTTATTTTGTTGCAGCATCCCGATGATAATGTACACATATTAGCGCTAAAATATTAGGTGTTTATTGCATATTGGACAAAGAATTAGCTAAAAAACATATAATGATATTTTTCTATCAATTTTCTTGCGAGCAAGAGAATCAAGAAATTTGGATAATTGCTTTGAAAGGAATATTCGATCTCTTGCTTATATATGGTTTGGAATATTTTGAAAATTTGCAAATTCAGGAAGAAAGCTCCATGCAAAATAGATCTGAAAAGAGTCGTTTACTTTACACACATGAAGACAGTGTCGTTTCTATAAATAAACAGATTGAAATAGAGAAGAGTCCTGGTAATTTCATTAAAATCTTGATGGGATTGCTCAACAACACGGTAAATAGATAACATCTTTTTAAATTTTGTTATAATTGAGTAAAATTTATTGTAACTATATTTGGAAATTTCAGAATCAAGACCTGCGCACTATTGCAGCGGAAGGATTTTGTAAATTGCTGCTCAATCAACGAATTAATAGCAGTAGTCTTATATCGCGTCTGATAATACTGGGCTACAATGAAGCCAATATTGATGATATTGTTCTTCGACAATGCTTAAGTGTTTTTTCGAGTATTTTATCGTGCGTGTACCCGAAGCACAAGAAATGCTAGAAAGCGCATATTTTCCAACACTACGAGCCCTTTGCGATGCACCGGATGTTAGTCCGCTACGGGAGATTGATACATATCACGTTTCCAAATTTATATTGAACCTAACTAGGCGAGGATATCAAAAGACCGGCGGACAAACGTTTCACACGCACAACAACCTTGCATTTGCTATATTGGCAGATATTTAAACCCGGAAAGCAACATAGATAAGGATACTCTTATTAAATCTTTAACGAATTTGTATATTCAAATAGAGGATGCTCTGTCGAAGCAAAATTTGCAAGAAGCCATCGAGAATGTTACGAAAAGTGTACATAAACTCTCTTTGCATTTTTTACTTTTAACTTTAATACAATTGAACGAATAATATGAAATATTAATTGTAAACTTGATGTTTTTCTAGGTAAGGGATTCTGACAAACGGTTACTGAGATATATTGAACAGTTCAAACAAAAATTAGAAACTCCTGCCGAAACAATAGAGAGTGCAGCAGAAAATGATAGTGACAGCGAAGACTAAAATATATGGTACATACACAATTTTTAAAACTGTGGCTTAAATTTTTAAATTAATTTATATATATATATAATTGCTTCACATATAATTGTATACTTTCATAAATAATATGTATTTTTATACTTGTATAATATATGTATATCTTTTATACTTGCTTCATACCTGAAGTCCTAAAAAATGAACATAATCCATTATAATAATTATTGCTATATATAGATTAAAATAATGATTAAATATTAAAAAAATATAATTTCTTTATTTGAAAAAAACAGAAGAAATATGAACAGAGCTGTGATATTATTGTTTGCAACAATGAGATGACATCATTTATTATATATATATATATATGTATAATATATTAATTATCACAAAATCAATGATATATTCATGTATGCATAAAAAATAAAAAATTGTCGATTATCTGAATATAAAAAAGTTCGCTCCGATACATATGATTGGTTCCATACGCAGCAGATGACATTTTTCAGTTATGACAGCGACGTTTAGATGGCGTATAAGTTTGTTTATGGTTACAGGAGCAGTTTATGTTCTCTGCCAAGAAAGGGATGAGAACAGACTTTATTTACGATAATTAAAGTTGAAAAGAGTTTCTTCACAGTCATGGACAAACTGGCGAAGCCGCAAATAATTTGTCACATTGAAAAATCAGTGGACTATTCACTATTTGATGTCAAATGGATACCGTGCAGCGCGAAATTTGTGGTTATGGGTTCTCGACCTCGTGGAACCGGCATTATCCAAATCTACGAGGTGTCCAGCGGCGAGTTGAAGCTCGTGAAGGATATAGAGAGATCCAATCAGATGAAGTGTGGAACATTCAAGGCTTCCAATCTTCGGGATAGACATTTAGCTACTGGTGATTTTAAGGTTTCTTTTACTCTAACAGATATCTGTTTAATTCTTATATTTACATCCAATATTTCCTATATGACAGGACTTTATAAAGTAAGCTACATATTATTCATCTGTCTTATAGGGTAAATTGAATATCTACAACTTGGAGGATCCCTCGATACCAATTTACACAGCTAATGCTCACACGCAGATCATAAACGCCATTGATGGGGTAGCAGGTGCTAGTGTAGGATGTGGCGCACCTGAATTGGTAACTGGATCCAGAGATGGAAGTGTTAAAGTCTGGGATCCCAGGCAGAAGGGTCGACCGGTCGCTGTTATGGAGCCTAAGGAAGGAGAGAGTCGACGAGACTGTTGGTCGGTCGCGTTCGGCAATTCTTACAATTCCGAGGAGAGAGTGGTGGCTGCGGGATACGATAACGGTGACGTCAAAATGTTCGATCTGAGAGCAATGACGTTGAAGTGGGAAAGTAATCTGAAAAATGGAGTTTGCGCTCTCGAATTTGACAGGAGAGACATCCCCATGAACAAGCTGGTTGCCACTACGCTAGAATCCAAATTTTATCTCTTCGACTTGAAGACTCAGCATCTCAAGAGGGCTTTCCATATCTTGTTGAAAAGGTTCATTATTTAGAGAAAATTAGAATTTATATTTTCCAAATATATAAGTTGTAATCCTGTGTGACTGCTTGATTTTAGGCTCATAAATCGACGATATGGTTGGTCAAGCATTTACCGCAGAATCGTGAATTATTCGCGACTTGTGGAGGTGGAGGGACAATCTGTCTTGGAAATAGTAAATATATTTATACAGTTTAATAACATTATTACAGTTCTGTGAGAAAAATATGCTTTAAAAATTAATATTTATTATTTTTCAGTAATTATCCAGAGAAAAGAAAAATTACGGACGCCGATGGGATCGAGATGGGTGTCGTGGGCAGCGTTAGCTTGTTGCAAAATAGTACGCTCTCGTCGCAACCCATTAGTTCCTTGGATTGGAGCCCGGACAAACAAGGACTCGGCGTTTGCACGTCGTTTGATCAATGTTTACGCGTTATCATCACTACGAAACTCAACACATATTGATTAAACAGCAGAGAAAACTACTTGTAAATATAAGTGTACTATAGCAGGAGAGAAGTTTCTTTAAGTTTCGTTTTGTACGTTTAAGGTAAGCTATGAATAAAATTCTTTAGTTGCCTCATATGCGACTTTATTGAATACAGTCGGATAATAAAGGAGGGAAGCAAGAGAAATGAGAAAACGCACATCAAATTGGTCATTTATATTAGGCGGCTATCTCGATAGTATTAGTTTGAAATAGAGATATCGATTTCTTGTTCACGAGCGCGTTACGCAACGGCGAGCAGATGAGAGCGAATTATATATTATTGGGCCAATCTATTTAAGATCAGACTCTTCCTAAGCATCAGCCATCTTACGCTTGGTCGCGAGCATTACGCAATATCGCGCGCGCCAAGCTCCGCCATTTGAGACGTATTCGACCCACACGTCGCGTGCATTTAGTGCGAGGGGGCAGCGTTGCAGCCGCACATACATACACACACACACACATACAAGGTCAGAAATATCTCGACTTTAATTACATTAATTATTATTGCCTGTCTTTGTCGCGATATGCGCTGTCACCCGTTCGCGACTCACTCATTTAATCTATTCTTTTAAAATTTTTTACAATTTTGGCTACATTAGCATTTAAAATTAAATTTTGATGCAATTTCCAGATGACAAGACGAGAAGAGATGCAGAATTAAAATTTAAAGATTTTTTTTCACACGTTCTACAAAACTTAATTACATAATAACTCTATTTTATTTTGAACGCAAAGAAACTGAAACACAATTGTATCTATATTCTGCTTCTTTTCACATTCTCCATTTTTATTTAGATTTTTTTCTAATATTTTTCTTCTCGACAAAACATTATTGTATTGCAACGTATTAATATTGTTACGCATACTTTTTTCTAAAATAACTTGTTTTTAAATTTATTTTATCCTAAAATATACATAACGCAATTCTCGATTTATGTGTGTCTAACATATATCAATCGAAGCAAAGTGAAGGGATAGACAGTTATCCTGGAAGTGTACCAAGTGTCAGCTGGTTAATTACATAGCGGAGTGTGTATATACGGGAACGAATATACATAACACACGTCGACAGGGCAGGTAGAGAAGTGTGCAATACTCGATTCCTATTTTCGTGTCTCGATGGCGCACTTGGTGATGCACTTCGTGACGACTTGGTCAACATCCAAGAATTGCTCGCGCGCTATAGTTACAATCGTTGCGATTAAATCTCGAATAGTACGATTGATTCTCCCAAAATCCCTGTTTTCCATAAAATATCCATCACAAAGGCTCTCGGTGGAAAATATCGTTATTTGCATTTTCGAGATTGCTAATGAAAAAACACTCATTTCGTTTAGTAAAATTATTCCATTAACCAAGAGTTTTATCACTACTTATATTTGGTAGCTTAGATTGGCCAGCTGAAAATGAGGATCGGTAGATGAGGAGAAATTTCAATATAAAAATTTATTTTTATTCGTTTTTATAAAGTTTTCCTAGATACAAGTATAGTAACAGTGGTTCAGTAATATTATCTGGTAATTTAATAATGTAAAATTATCGAATTTGTAGCGACATCTTTAAATTCTTCAGGCCTTGAAAGTATATAAAAGAAAATTTCATTGTAAATTAATTATTATGAAGGCTATAAATAAGTTAGCAATATTGTCAATATCGCTTGTGTATTTAATTCTATTGTACATTATATAAAATGTAAAATGCACATTTTTCTTCTGATATATTCGTCGAAGAAACTTTCGAATGACGAACGATCCAACAGCCCGCGCGCGATCGGTAGTATTTTAAAATGCAAGTTTCTTCATTAGCAGGTACATGTGTTGATCTATTTCAAAGCCATGCAGATTGTTCGCGTCGCCCTGTAGCCTCATGAGCAGACCTCCGAAAGATACGTAGGCTGATCTGGAAACAAAGAGAAGAAGAGAACAATCAGTTGCAAGTCTTGCATCGTCTTTGATAACGCAGATTTTTTATTTTTTAATAACAGCTTTGTGCGCGACTCGGGCAATTTTTTCTTTCGTCGCCGATAAAAATAAGCGATCAAGTGTTCAAGAAGGAAAAAAAATATCCGAAATCGAGATCGACGGTTCCTTCTGGCAGGTCTGCGATCGTCATAATTGCAGTGCCGATAGCGGTCGTGTATATAGATCGACCACACAACCAGCTAACCACACTGCCAACACGCCGATCGCTAAAGGAAGTTGTTCCTTTAAACGATTAGGAAAGATGTATTCTGCTCTGTTGAAGATTCTTCAGACTCCGCTCTTCAAGCTCGATTGACGGTCACCTTCTCTTTTAATCGTCATTTTCACGGCACACATACATTGCGAAAGCCAAACTTTTGTAGCAAGAGACTGCTTGTTCCTGATATAATCGTGCAAAGTTATATTCTCAAGATTATATCGCAAACGACTAAGCTTGGCTTAGGATGCACAAACTCGAGATTAAGCGATAAGAATAATAGAATACAATATAGATGTAAAAAAAAGTACAGCAATTGGTGGGAAAAAACTATCATTCATCTTAATTAAAACCACTGAAATTATATGGACGTCTCTCCAGAGCAAAATAGCGGTGCGAGCGTTTCTTCCATCACTTGACAATCAGCTGATTCTACTTACGTAATTACTATAATGTATGGCATCTTGAAACTAAATGGACAGAAAGACAACCAGCGTCATTCTACGAATGCGGTAATGTATACACGCAGATATAAAACATCCGTCATTTCAGCTCCGTGGTATGATCGTGCGGATGACGTAGTTTTTTTTCCCCTAATCGACGTTAAAGGATCGCGTCGATGACGTTGTTTGTAAAAATGCATTCCGCGCAAGATCCAAATTTCGCATGCAAATTCGAGAGCTCGAAAGAGAGGGAAATGCGAATACCGAATACAGGAATACAAAGGCGGCATGCACGTGTGACGTTACGAGGTTTCCCTCCATCGATTGACCTTGCCTCCGACGAATCTCTACCTCTCTAAGAGGCACTTCGCTCTTTATAAGAGCCAATTATTTTTAACCAAGTATTTCGAGCTTCCGCTTATATGTGTGCGCTCTGGCTCCATCTCCCCCTCCTTCGTCTCTTTGCGCCTTTTAATCATCTTACACGTGCCGTACGTCTTTATATTCTACGTGATGTATACAACGCTAAATATATATACACAGCTTTACAAATAAACAGCAAAATCGCGCACACCTAAATTAGACTTGAATTCCGATCCTTGGATGTGCTAGAAAAAAAGTACATTTTCTAATCTACCCCTATAAAAATCAAAGGAATCCGGTCCATGCCTTAAAAATATTCATGCTCAAAAAATATAAATGTCATTTGAGGTGCTATTTCTAATTTTTTAAATCCTTTTGAATTTATTATTTATATTGAAAATAAAAATTGTTGAGAATTTTGTATCCATAATAAAGATCTGTTTTCAGATAACACACTGCCTGAATATTTTTCTCGAAACAATTGAAAATATTCTTTGCGAATTAATATTATGAGTGGAAACAAAAGAAGTGAAAAAACAAATTGTGTTATTAAATTCCAATTGAACTCTGATCAATGACTGTTCTTAATTATAATTTCTCGAATATTAATTAATGGAAAAACACTCATGGAAATAAAATTCAATGCAATTGTACAACTTCAATACAGCCAACGTCAAACTTTTACAGATATATATATATAATCTCTATTTTCATATCTCTCTATGTATATACATATAAAATTAATCACTACAGTAAAGGCGCTGGTGAAATTAAATGAAGAACGCATTGGATGATTTTTATTGTCATTCGTGATACAATACACCCTAGGATCCTATACGCGGTGTGCATGTATGTATGTATGTATGTGTAGGTATAAAATTGTTATGTAAAGCATGAACCGAATGTAGGCGCTGCAACAAAACGCACGCACTCTTCCGTTAACAAATCCTTCGTCATGGACGATCGAACGCCATTACGCAGCAATTCACAGGGAGTCATCATTGTCGATAATATCGAGGAAAAAAAAAAAAAAAAAAAAAAACGCAACATGCGCGTTCGGTCGCTTGAATGCACCCCTTTCTCTGCCTCCCACATACGACATGTTTTACAATTGAAAGAGAAGAAAAGGGAGGTAGAGAGCAATTTTTTTCACAGCGGGATTTATTTATTGCGGCACACATACGTACATACTGTTTGTAGAATTTGAAACAGATTTCTCATGTATAGTGTGTGTATAGAATTACTTTCTATTATAGATATCGATGTTTTATACTAATTACGGGAAACTCGAATTGTGTCGATCGTTTGAAGCCCAAATCCACGCAAACGTAAATGTCAAACGTTATTGCCGTAAATTATTGCTTTAAATTTTAAGCCAGTGATCCCGAACGAATATTTCCGACGCAATTATTCCAATTAAAACTTTTGGACGTATAGGAAGATTATAATTTAATTAACATTTGCTTCCAAAGGACCGCTATTAATAATCTAGTTCTTGTAATATTATAGCATTTCGCTGTTTTATTCGTTGTGCATTTAATTATAATTATAATTATAATAATAATTAGAATTGTAACTCGAATAAGAGGAAAGGATAGTGTAATACTTTCTCATGCTCTTTTCTTCTAACGAGTTTGAGAGAGAACTCTGAATATAGATATTATACATATTATTCTCGTTGAAAAGGGGCTAAAAATGTCTTACAATTAGCAGAGATGAAAAATACAATTAGACTGTAAGAAAGCATATTTCAACAGTTCGCCTGAAAATCTTTCAATTTTCGATGTTTTAAAATCGAGTATAATTTTTTTTGATTAAAAACAAAATAATTTTATTTTCAAACAAATGTTCCGCTACTCTAAATACACGACACAGTTCCACCAAAATTTCTTACATCGAAAGAAACGCAGCATTTTTTCGAGTACGTAAAAATTGTATATTATTGCATGGCATGATATATTAATATACGTACACAGCATATGTAAGGATTTCGAAGCTTCAGAAAAGCTTCGCGCTTTTCTCGGCCTCGATATCCCCTCGTGATAAATATATATATGTATACGGATGCCGAATTTTTGCCGCGGTTGGAACTTAATCTACGGCGCTATAAAGTCGTAGTCGGGCGTATCAAACCCGTATGATATCGTCGATGACGGCGACAGAAGAGATGTCGTACCAGATAGTGCATTTACAGTATTCAGGGCCCGTGTAAACGCGCATCTGGCACGAGCCCCAACTGCCCTGCGATCTCGTATTGGCTCGTTTCCGCTCTCGTGCTCTCTTTACTCGGTTAATCTTTGCAGTCGTGCTCTCTCATTTACCCTCGATTCTCGCTCCCTTTCTTTTCGACTTTTCTCTCCCTCGCAACGAACTCGCACAATAATAACGTCAGTGTCTTTTAAACCGCTTCAACGGAGAGAAGCGTCTCGCTGCACGATGATATTTAACTCGCCGCTGATCGCAATTCATTGCGCGCGTGTTAAACAAAAATGTAAACGCTTATGTAACGACGGAACTCGAGTCACGCGATTACTCCTCTCGACGTGTAATTCAAGTTCGAAAAGAGGAAGAAATATTAATATTCATATTTTTACAGCATGTCGTCTATTTTACATCAGCTAACGTTGTAATATTTATATTATAAAAATTGTATAATTAAATTCGTTCAATCAAGCAACGTTAAAAAAACGTCCAATTAATTTGATCGATAAACTTAAAATTATTCGCACGTCCTCTCAGGCTCTCTTAGTTCTTGGTTTATCCTTAATTAATCATTCGCGACTATATAATTATCGGCTACTCCCCGAATTCGCCTCCGAAAAAACGGAAGAGGCGAAAGAATTCTCGGGCGTATCTTCCAGAAGGATGTCAGCTGATGCTATTTTGCCTCTCGAAGCGCGAAATGAGAAGAGGACGACGTCGCTAATAATAGCAGTCACTGTCCCCGGCGACGCTCCGGCGTCGGGACGCGTCGTTTCGTCGTCTTCGTCTTCGTGTTAACGCGCACTGGCGCTTCTCCTTTTTTTTTTCAATGCTCTTAGACAGCTAATCCTTTCATAGACGCCACCGATGCGTCCCGAGAAGCGAGTTACGGATGCTTCATTGCGATAATTCCTTAGATCGGAGAAACATTTTCTTACTTCGTGTTTATTTATCCCCCTCGATCCTCGCGAAATGATTATCGAGATTATTCTCAAGTCATCTCTCTCGCTGACGATCGTAGACTACTGTTCAAGTATCTCTTCGTTATATTTAGATAAAGTGTAAGAAGCTGGAATGATATAAATAGTCACTGCATATCCTCCGCGCGCGCGCGTGTGTATTCATTTATATTTTCATTTCTATTTTTAATATAAAATTAATTTTTAACATAAATAATAATAATACGTGTATATTTTATATATTTCTCTCTCTCTCTTTCTCGTCTGCAGATTTGTTTTTTTACGCATCGCGTAAGTGAACGTAATATTATTAATATTATTTATTAATATTTTTGTTTATTTAGATTTTTAGATTTGTTCGATTTATAAACTCGTTTTACATTTCATTGTCCCTTTGATTTAGAATAGAAAAGAAGACGAGGTAACGCGATAAACAATCTCAGTCAATTATATCTATGATTCATTATTCTCCAAGTCGATCACGTGCGCTTATCATCATGATTTTACACAAAATCGTTGAAATTATTCGCGATTCTTTCATCGTTTCACGCGAATGTATACGATTTCTTAGTTCGATCCGAGATTCGCGTCGCGATCAATCGCTGTCTCGTTGAGTCACAGACTGTCGTTCAGAGACCCCGGCATGACGTTGATTATATTCGGAATTGAAATGATCAATCTCTCATATTCTCCCGCGGTTGCTCGAATTTTTCGCACAATAATACACCGAGAGAATTTCCTCTTAGAACTTCTCTGATTTAATATTTACCGCAATAAAAAATATTGATACGTACATTATAAAATTAATCAAACATATTTTTTATATCTTTCGTGGTAGATATTAATATCCTTTTCTTAATGAGATTCTTATAAAATCTCTGATAAAAAATACCACTATGTCCGACGATTACCATGATTTTCCGGGGAAATTCTAAGAGAAAATTCTCTGTATTATAGAATTATGTAATATCCCGATCTCACACAAGTTCGCGAAATCGTATGCATTATCCCACTAAATAATGCACGATTTTCGCATATTTTAACTCGGGTGTTACATGTACATGTGTACACACTATAAACCACGATTTCACGTATATAGGAGTGAAAAAAAATGCAGCCCTTGAGAAGGATCGCGCACGCCGACGAAGACCGCCGCCGCAAAGATGGCGCCCGCGAAGATGCAGCAGGGAAGGAAGAAGATGCAGCGCGGCGCGGCGCGGATGCACTTTGAGACGCGATTTCGCGAAAGTCGAGGAAGAGTCGAGCCGCAGTGCAGCAGCAGAGCGGCAGTGTCGACATCGATTATTCAGCGTGATTAAGCGGCGGCTACTGCGGCAACCTCGGTGCAACTGCATCGAGAAACGAGAGCCGGGGGAGAGAAAGAGAGAGAGAGAAGGGGGTCGGCCGCCGAATGCAGTCGATCGTCGGTCGTTTTAGACACACGCGGCCGGGTTGCACAATCGCGCGACCTTGCCTCGATGGCTCCGCAACAGGTGCATCGCGAGGACGCGCGCGTCCAAAATTATCCTGACCGCGCGTGGCCAGGTGACGATTTTTCACCGATCGCAAGTTTATTTATCCGCGACATAATCGGATATATGCATGTCGTAACTTGGAGGATCTCTTAGATAAAACGGAGAAGTATATCGCGGTTGTTTACATCACTGCGAGAAATGCCAGGAATGCGACGACGCGTCCGCGACTTTTCGCGGCTCGCGAGGAGAGAGAGAGAGAGAGAGAGAGAGAAGAGACGGACAGACAATTGCGTGATTTATTACGCCGACTATACCGATCGCGATCTGCTCCGGAACGGTGACGTTACACAATCGCCGACCTTGGACCGCGCATTGTTGCGAGCGTATCGCGCCGAATAAATAATCTCCTCGCGGAATGGAAATCGATCTCCGGGAAGCGAGACGGCGAACGCTTGGAATATATAATGACGAAGACAAAACGACGAAGAGAAGAATCTTGTCCGGTATATAGATGAGAAGCATGGGAATAATTAGAAATAAATTCAACGAGATAATCTCAACTTCTCACGACGTAATTTGTATATTCGCGTGTTACGCGAACGAGCGAAATCGTTTCCTCGATAATATCGAAGTAATTTGCGATGACGTGCGACAAACAAAGCGAGAGCGATATATGTCTGTTACGTGTATATCACGCGCGTGCGGGCGATTCGCGCGACAGCTGAGCGACGACTAGAGCTGCCTCTGCTCGCGACTAAACTCGGCCTAGAGCAGAAGCTCAGTAGTCCGCGGCAGTAGCGGCAAAAGGCTAGTCCAGCGAAGTAGAAAACGTTGCCAGCCAGCTGAATATGCCACTGTTTCTTCGCTCTCTGTCCAACGGGCGCGTGCCAAAGGAGATTCGATATATCATTCACAAATTTTATGTACATTATTCAAATATTTCAAAGCTTCTACACTGGTGCCCGATATCTTGCAAAGGAATCTCGGAATTGCTTCAGAATTGAATTGAAACAAGTGCGATTGATCTGGAATGTAAATTTAGACTGCATAATTGCCGCGGAGATTATGAATCATATCTTTATATGTATATCGATCGAATGGGCAAATGCAGAACGAGCGCGCGACGAAATCGTACACGATGAGAGAATATTCGAACGAGCAAACACTTATTGCTTTCACGCGCTATCGCGCACTTAACTCCTTCACAGTGTGGCGAAAATGAGAGTTTTATGGTATACCAGTGCGTGTGAGAACAAGTTTCTTAGATCGCTGAATCCGAATATGGCACCAGAATTTCAAAATTCAAAATGGCGGATCTAAAATTTGATATATATTAATATATTTTTGATAAAGTTTCGATAAATTATTAGTTTTAGGTGACTCTTTTCAGCAAAGTTTGATCTGCCATTTTGGTAATTCAGATATATTTCGATGTAGCGACTTCAAATTTTGAACCGCCATCTTGAAATTCTGATCTATTCGAGAATTCAGCGAAATTTAAAAACCAAAATAGCACATCGAGTTTCATACAAATCTCAAAAGGATAAATCTATTTGTTTTAGGTGTGCATATATATAATATATGTACATTACACACTGGTTGCACTGGTCTTTTTTCTGTGCATATATGCTACATACACTGCGAAGGAGTTAATTAGCTTAACGTTAGAAGGAAAAAAAGCGATGATTCGCGGGTGTCGCGGAAGCTTCTTTACGGTTCTAACGAATTGGAAAGGATTGAAATAGGACGAGAGGGTCGAGGATGCTGGGAGAGAAGGAAGCGAGAAACACAAACCGCGACGATGGGATGCGCACGTGATGGGAAATCCGAGGTGACGCTCTCGCTTCGGCGTAATTGTACCACTTTGCCGTTTAAACGAGCTTAACGATCGATTCTCTGCCGTGCCATCGCGATGCACGTCGTGCCTTCCACGGATCCATCTCGCGAGGTCGTAAATAACGCTAATGACGTTGCACATCACATCTGTTTTTTTCCCTCCCGAGGATTTAGCGATCGAGAAAATACCAAGTAGACCGATCGATTTTTTTAGTTCGCGATATATGAATTGTACCAATTGTTACACAGAATTTTCTCTTAAAATTTACCGGAAAATCATGATAATCGTGATGAGACAATAAGAGTATCTCTGAAGAAATAAAATATGTTCGATTAATTTGACTACGTACATATCGATATTTTTTATCGTGGTAAATATTAATCAGAGAAATTCTTACACGAATAGCATAATTTTCCGGGTAAATTCTACGAGAAAATTCTCTTCGGGTATCACACGTTTTTAGAGAATGAACAATAAGATACGATTAAAACGAAAATTTCAACTTCCCTCAAGACGCGATTACTGTTCGGGGTTTTAAAGAAGGTTGATCTCTCGCGGCCGCGACATATAAACGATCTCAGGACGAACTTTTGTCGACGCTTTGTTCTCAATGGCACTAGCAACTATAAGTAGCCGAGGGAGCAGAGCTCGAAAAGGTGGAAAAAAAGAAAAGACGCGGCGAGAGAGAGAGAGAGAGAGAGAGAGAGAGAGACTAGTGCGAGAGGCGAGCTAGACGCGACTAACGTCGGACGCGACACGTTGCGCGCTTACACACGATGGGGCCGCGATTATGCAATCTCCGTGGCCGAAAAAGCCGTGCCAAGCTGCGTGGCGCTGGGCCACACACACATGTACACACACGCAGCCATTCGTCGCTCGTTCTTGTAACCTCGAAACACACCGCCAGAGAATTGTGTGTCGCGCCAGCGGCACCAGGGTTGGTCCCGCTATTCTTTATCGGGGTTGCGAAAAAGCCCAGGGTTACCACTTGGCTCATCCTAGAAGAATACTCTTCTTCCCCCCAATCCTTTCAAACGTGACCTTTGACTATTGCATCGAGCTGTTATTTTCGATGTCACGCACGGACTCGTGTGATATGACGAATTTCTCGAATTAAGATATTAAGTAATATATCGCGTATATATAATAAATGAATTTATTTTACGAGGGATTCTTCGGATTCTGTACAGTCATTATTTTTATATTTATACTTTTATTTATTTCCAATATTTTTCTTATTGCAATTAATTTTCTCAGAGAAAACGCTTTCAATTTTTCTCCACAATTTATTTACTGTTGTCGAAATAGGTTTTCTATTAGTTTATTTTTCAAAGAAATTAATACTGAAATATAATAAAAGTACTAATTCTGACCGACTTGGAGTATACTTTTTCCGTGCACGACATCGTATATCATTATCTGAAATTATTTCACGGTATAAACCTCCCCGAGAATTAGCGCGAGAAAATTTTTTCGAAGCAGCTGATTAATTGAACGAAACTCGTTATTGAACTCGCCCGATGCAGGGAGTGCAGTTTTATGCGCGAGTCGCGGATAATGCTATATAGAGTTTGATTTGCATTAAAATTAATTCGATTTTATTTTGCATTACAAATGGCACATCTGAATCTCGATCCGTCATAGTCCGATCTGTCATAAATATGTATATAGTTTTGTTTACACTTTCGCACCCTTTTTGTAGAAATTAAACTTGCAAATGAAAAAAATAGCGTAATTTAGTGTCTTTCGTAATTTTAAATCTCGCATATATAACTATTACAATCTACAATCTTAAATCCATCTCCACAAATTCCAAAAAGAGAAAGATATAAAAAAAAAGAAGAATAAATAGCAAAGATTCATTATAATATAATTTCATGAAAGAGTAAATTAAATAATACGTATAAGCTCGAAGACAGAGCTTCAAAGTGCATACATAATAGAGGAAAATCGCGCATTTTAAGGAGGAATTATTGCGACACTTGTAATCAATTTATCGTAAAATATTACAGCACCGCGAGATAAGGTAACTCGACGACAATTATGAAAATAACAGAAAAATAAAACGAAGAGTAAGTCGATTAGTAATGTTACTCGAACGAACGAGACATCGCATCGTCCGTTCCATTTCTTTCGCAGGCATTTCGCGCGCGGGATATGGGTCGCTCTCTCTCTCTCTATCCCGAAAGGCGATCGATTCGCGCGATTCGACTCGCCGTCGACTCGTGGACACGGACGCGTCCAATAATGAGCTTCACATTCGTCCGCGACCTTCGTCGCGCATATAATTGCCGCTAATTATCGAGCGCATGCCGCCACGCACGCACGTGCACTTTCGCGACTAATCGGCCGCAGCGTGATCGCGATTCGTATATAATAGGTCGATCGTTTCGAGAGTGTGTCGTGACGGGACAATATTCCGTACCGCTTCGTAGTCTAAAGTCGTAATATCTGCCTTTATTATTTACACGTAAAAAAAAGAAAAAAAAGTTCGTCCGGGATCTTCTTATCGTTACTATATACGAGGAAAAGTCGCGAGAATATTCATTTTGTTGTCTTATATATTATTCGGAACATGTCACATTTTTTTGCGCCACAGCAGTTTTTCCAAGATTCATGAAATAGAGAAAGATAGTAAGATAAAGGGATTTTCTAATTTGAATTACGTTTAATTAAAATTTACTCAATGATGATTTAATATATCACTAATAAGCGGACGAAGAATTTGCATCGAAGGAATCATTGAATTTGAAATGGGCTGCCTCTACGTCAATGCGGCGGAATGTGACGAAGTCTATTCTCGTTCCGCATATCGCAAAAACTAACAATATTACGTCAAGGCGAGGAATATTTCCAGCGTGGCAAAATAAGGAAAAATTCCCATCGAAAGAGATCTTTCTACTCTCGAGTGAGAAACCCGACTACTATATACATTACTTTCGAACAATGAAATGCATGAGAACGACGAGTTTCCGAATTCCTCGTCAAGGCGAAAGAAGGAAGAAACGTTCGAAAGCGGCTGCAAAATGAAGGACAGGATTAAGTAATCGAGCTTCTCAATGTCAAACGCGAGCGATCGCGCTTAGCATAGCTTACGCAAGCAAGCGAGACAAGCACAGCACCAGGTTCTCCTCTGGACCCCGAGAGACAGACAAGACGTCGCATCGGTTACGGACGAAAGAAGAGAGCCGCGACAGGTGGGTGGTCGAGGAACGACACATTTCGAACACGCGTGTCTCTTCCCTTGGCAGGTACCTGGGCCGACTTAATCTTAGACCGCTACCACTACCGCGAGCATCTGTCGTCCCACACTGTCACTTTTACTACTACTACTACTACTGTATGCCGCTCCACAGCTTTGGCAGTCATCGTCACTTTCGTCACCACCGAAACCGCGACGCGACACGTCGCCCCGTCCGACACGGTGTAAACGGGCCTTTAAGTTTCGCACCTCGTCTCGCAGCAGACACGGCGGCACACACAATACAACGCAGGAACCAGGGAGCGCACCTGCGCGCGCGCTGCCAGCGTGCACCGTTTTCTCTCTCTCTCTCTCTCTCTCTCGCTCTTCCGTTTCTCTCGATCGGTCGCGGCCTGTTTGTCCCCGTGCTTCTCTCCTCTTCTTCATCCCTCCACCACCCTCTAAACGCGATCGGGTCGGCCCTCCCCACTATCTCGCGTGTCGCGGAGGCACCTTTGGCCTCCCTCTCTTTCGTACTCTCCTTCTCCTTCTGTACCTCTCGTATCCTCCTACGCCACCTACACACGCGCACTCGAGAGAGTCGATTATCGTTGAAAACCGGGAAGCTCTTCTACTATTCGATATATATGTATGAATAGAGAGATAGAGATAGAAAGAAAGAGAGAGGGAGATAAAATGGCGGCCGACCATCAAACGCGAGCACTGATTATGTAAGGAGAGCCTGAGGAAGTGAAGCTTCACGACGTTTGACGTGCTTCTTCGCCGTACTCGAATTTACATATTAGACATTTCTCGGGGCTATTATTAAATAGGCATTTTGAAAAACATGTATGAAATACGTAGTACTTTATATGCGAAAAGAATCTGTCATTTTGGATTGTTCGTACGTTGCACCTGTGAAATTATCTCGCTGTTTAATCTGTCAATTTATCCCGTCACGGTTATTCAATAAAACTCGCCTCTCGCAAAATTTCCTCTTTTTTTTTTTTTTTTTTTTTAATCGCGACACGATGAGTCTCCGCGATGCGGTAGACGCATAAATAGAGGATAGACGTATTAGTCAGACTAAATATCAATGTTGCGTAATTGAGAGCCGCGTGCACAATACGTTACTTTGGCTACGTCATCCGATGCAGTGCGCATATAATGAAGCCATTCTCGGCTTACGCTTTGAACACGCAGTCGATTGATTGTACGCAGCATTTATTATAATTGCAAGCGCTTTCAAAGGTAGAACGTTAAACGAACGGTAGCGGTTGAAATTTCGTTGACACCGAGAATTTTAGATTTGACATCTTTTTTCTTGGTGACAATTCAATGAAACGGTCTGTCTTGGCGCAACGTACAAAGGCGCGATATTCGAAAACGTTGTTTGGCGAACAGACTAGCCAAACGCGTATTGCGTATATGCGAGAAAAGAACTTAAAAATCAAGTCAAAAATATATATGCTGTATAATAGATAACATAATAACGAAAAAGTTCCCTATAAATATCGAAAAGGCGAATGGAAGATCTCGCTAAATGTATCGCTATTCTATACACAACGTTTCTTTTCAATATATCACACGTATATATCTTTCAGGACAAAAATGCACTACAAAGCACTAATTTACATGGACATAATCCAACGCAAAATATTAACATTATCACAATAAGGATGACATTGACTTTCCACCCCGATCGAAATTTTGATCTCGTTTGAACAATCACGATATATTCTCTACGCACGTCGAGAAGCTCTTTAGAAAGGCAAGTTCCTGGCGAAAACACGCGGCAACTTTTCTACTTGTATGTCGGGCACGCCGCAAATGCGGATAAGGGGGTTGAAGCAACACGTGGCAGTCGGGGCGCGTAGACGCGATTGCTCCACTGTAGAGTCCACAAAGTAGAGTCCGTAATTCGCCCGCTCAATGTCACGAAATTTCGGACCTCAAATGTGCGGGTGCGCGTGCAAAAAAGGGAAAAGAGGATAAAACAATAGTATAATAATATCAACGTGCGACAATAATAAGAGTAACGCAGAAAGAGTTTCTCTTGGAATTTACCCTGAAAATTACGTTAATCGTGGAACAATATTGGTATAAGAATTTTCGAGTTTCTCTGATTAATATTTACCACATTAAAAACTATTAATAATGTATGCACATAGTAAAATGATTATCATGATTATCATGATTTTCAGGGTAAATTGTAAGAGAAAATTCTCTCTCTGTAATAATACAGTATTAGGTAGCTCTAATTTTTGTGTAGGTAAACTGTAATAAGAATAAAGAGAAGTGTGAATAAAACGAATGGACGAAACATGATGACGAGTGGGAGGAATTATATATAATAAAAAATATAAAAGTTAAGTTCATCCTTGTAATTAATGTTATACGACTTTTAGTGGTCAGACATCCCAGCACCGTTGATACTTGGATGATGAACAGAAGATTTCCAATTGTGTTATTTTTTTAAATTACCAAGTGATATTCGGAAGAAAAAGATAATATTTTAATATGTATTATCCCCATTTAACTTAGAATGCGACGTGAAATTTTACTTCCTCAATCACCGAACTCAATTACGCGCAAATTTGTCAAACTTAACAATGCTAAATGATATAGAGACAGAGAGAATTTTTGCTTAGGAATTATCCTGGAAATCATGGGACAATATGGAATATTTTTGCCACAATAAAAAATATTAGTATCTACCAATAAGATATAAAATATGTTCGATTAATTAGAGAAACTCGCATAAAATTCTTCCCATTACCATGATTTTCAGGTTCATTTAAATTCTCTGCGTGTACAATCAATAATATAATTAATAAGATAGATAATAAGATTAATAAGATAGCGATGAAATTAATATACAAAAATGCTGACAAAAACTAAAAGTAATAAAATAATTTTCCGAAGTACGAAGAAAGTATCTGACGGAAAAGTTTTTCGAGACGTAAAACCTGGCGTAAATGCGTCAGACAGACGACAGATTCAACGAGCTTCGTTGAGGCATCATCTGCGAATGAGGCCTGCTAGTATATCTGATGGAGAGGCACAGCTCGTATAATTCCTCTTAATCGCGCGAGGATTGATATTTGTCACCGTTATATGGCAATCCACTTGACGTATGACGTAGTCGTTTTCCCTCTTCCTCTCTCACGACGATTACTTCTGGAAATTATGCGTGCGGAGAGAAAAAGAGAGATGGAGAACGATCCATCTATAGTCGAGACACGTCGAAATTTTATACCATTCGGCATTATATCCAAAGCGTTCTATTCAAATATTTCATCTATGCTCTATCTGACGGATCTTTCAGAGAATAAATGTCCCGCTGGGTGCGAATCATATTTTTCTAGAGCAAGAAGAGCTGAATTTTCAAGTCTATTGAAAAATCTATCATTCTCTGAAACGTTCAAAGAATAAATCGCGAATGAAATTTCAAAAATGTTTCTTAGCATCGCAACTTTCGAACTGTACACTTATCAGCATAAATCTAAAGAAACAAAAATCACAATTTGAAGGTTTTAAAATTCGAAGGTCGTTTTAAACGACAAGTGGAAAAATGTTTTTTTTTTTCGCACTAACGAGAGTCTCCTCTCGCTATCTCGAGAATCTCGGTCGGAGCAGGAAGCGAAAATTAGGGGATAGCGAAGGCGGAAAGAGAGGAACGGGA